ATAAAATCCGATGATCAAAGGAAGCGAAAGTGGCGTGCAATGCAGAAGGTACCATAAAATCCGATGATCAAAGGAAGCGAAAGTGGCGTGCAATGCAGAAGGTACTATAAAATCCAATGATCAAAGGAAGTGAAAGCGGCATGCAATGCAGAGGAGAATTTCTATTCCAACATGGATTGGCTAAAGCAATGGAGGGAAAAGCCAATGCAGAATCACCCAAAGACTAACAAGATTTTCCAGGGCCCTTCATTAGATACAAGTACTTTTGACTCTTGAAAGCTTCGGGGTCCCCAACCTTTTTCGGCCTGTGGGCATCACTGGAATTCTGGAGGTGAGCGCAACGTTATATAGAACTCTAATAAGAACCCTTCAACCTTTCAGGCAGAAGCATTGTTTAACACAGGGGTGTCAAACATGCGGCCTGGAGGCCAGATCAGACCCCCGGAGGGCTTCTATCAGGCCTGCAGTGGAACTGGCTGTCTTCTGCTTCTTCTTCCAGTTCTGCTGCTGCTGCGTCATCGTAGGTTTGTAGCTTACAGATACACACCTGAACAGCATACTCAAGATTGCAACAGCACAGACATTTTGATGCAATAATTCAGAGCAAGAGGTGTCAGTTATCAGAAACTGTTAAATAAACAAAACATTGCAAGGGTGCTAATGTTTTAAGCATGTTTTTATTTTAAGTTTTAAAAAAAGCCTTTGTGTCTATGTCCTTTATAAAGTTTATGTCCCCGCTATCTGGCATTACATTTTATGACACACATGGCCCGGCTCCACAAGGTCTAATTTATGTCAGATCCGGCCCTCATAACAAATGAGTTCGACACCCGTGGTTTAACAGGATTCCTTTTAATCTGCACAGCCAATCAGAAGCCCTGCTGGGCAAACGCCCCGCCTAGCCTCTCCCTTGTTCTAAAAACAATTGGTGGACGCCAGGAAAGGTGTCGGCGGGCACCATGGCATCCACGAGTACCATGATGGGAACCCCTGGCTTATACCCTGGAAATCTTGTTGGTCTTTAACGTGCTACTGGACTCGAAGCTTGGTCTTCTGTTGCCGGCCAAGACGGCTACCCTCTGGAACTTGCTTTGAGCACAGAACAGATTGGAATGTTGCGGGCGTGTCACTTGTTATTCTTGCCCCCCAACACCAGGAGGAGGCGGAGGAGGATGTATACTCCGCCCTTCACTACCCAAAGGTGTCTCAGAGCCGCTTATGATCTCCTTTCCCTTCCCCTCCCCACAACAGACACCCTGTGAGGTGGCTGGGGCTGAGAGAACTCTGACACAAACTGCTCTTTCAGGAGCAGCTGTGCCAGAATTATGGCTTGCCCAAGGTCATCCAGCCAGGTGCAAGTGGAGGAGTGGGGAATCAAACCCGGTTCTCCCAGATTACAGTCCGCGCACTTAACCACTACACCAAGAGCTACCCTGCTGTTATGTATTGGTCCTGTAACATTGCAAAACAGTGCTACCCGAGACAGGGAGAGCTTGGAGAGGAATAACAACAGACCAACAGGATTCTGGCAGTAGCCAATTAAGATGTATAGTTGTCTAAATAGCCCATCGTTGGAAGTGGGTGTGTGTTGGGTGTGCCGTTTGACAGGCTTATAAGGAGGGCTTCTGCCCTGCTTGAGTTGTCTTAGTTTAGCTGAATCACTAATAAACTATGAGCTGATCACTACACGCATCTCTAACTCGGTATATTGCACTGGCGACGAAGATGGGATCTTGTTGCGCCAGCCCAGCGCCCTCCAGCACCGCAGCGTGCACTGAGCTCCAGTGCCAAGCGCATCGCATTGCTACCGGGACCATGGCTGCCGCTCCAGGACATCTGCCAGAATTCGACCCAACTCACCCAGAGCTTTAGGAAGCCTGGGTGGAGCAGCTAAAGTACTACATCAGGTTCCAGGACATCGATGACGCGGACAAGAAGAAGGCTCTCCTGCTCAGTGCCTGTGGGATCGCCACCCTGAGACTAGTCCAGGGCCTCATTGCACCAATCACCTTAGAAGCGGTCACGTACGACAACCTCATCAAGGCGCTAACCGGCCATTTGTGTAGGCTTATAAGCAGCTTCTGCCCTGCTTGAGTTGTCTTAGAGTTTAGCGGAATCACTAATAAACTATGAGCTGATCACTATACGCGTCTCGAACCCAGTATATTGCACCTGCTATATAACACCCGCTAAGTTCTACCCGC